AAGCTTCGTCTCTCATACTTTGGACATATTGTCAGGAGGGAACAGTCACTGGAGAAGGATGTCATGCTGGGTAAGGTGGAGGGTCAGGGAAAGAGAGGAAGACCCCCAACGAGATGGATCAGCCAGGTGGCATCACTGATGGCGTCAAGTGTGGCAGCGGTGGTGGGTTGGCCCAGGATCGGACATTGTTTCATTCTGCTGTGCATGGGGTCGCTATGACTCAGTTCTGACTCGATGGCACCTGACAACAACAACAACAATGCCTACTGTGCTTAGAAAACAAGTTATGGTGCAAGAGCTGGCTACAGAGTTGCTGTCCATGCTCAGATAGTCCAAGGGAGAAATCCACAAAAGAAATGAGAAGACCACACGTCTCAAACTTCCCAAACATGCTGAATTTGCGCTTTCCCCACCAGTCTACCCACTTCTATCTCTACTGCTATTATTCCTGCACCATCACCTTTTACCTGGTCTACAGCCACCTTCTAAAACAGGTGTCCCAAAATGTGGTGCCAAACTCAAGACTGTAGAAAAAGACTGGTGCAGAGCCTGGACTGAGACTGGCGGAGCCCTCAGTCACCTTTCAGGTCTGGAAAGGAGCCCACCTCATGGCTCAGCCTTCAGCCAAATAATCAACAGGTCTGGAAGGAGAATAGACATGAAACCAAATGTGTATGAACTGTTGAATGGAAAAGGATCTAATCTGTAACCCGTCACCCAATTCACAATAAAAAATTAAAATAAATACAATAAAATGAGTCTCCTTGATTTTGCTCTCACTGCTCTGTGACAGCTAAAGTGACCTTAGAGAGAACTCCAGTCTGCATTCTGTGCATCCTATAGAATGTAGCACCATTAGCCTTCTTATCTCTCCATCACCCTCATACCCTAGCTGGACTCTGGGCATTGTTTCACCAATGGGCTAGACTCACTGCTGCATTTGGGTCCTGCATGTAAATGCTCCCTCTACCTCTTGTGACTTCCTCTTAGGTTCCGGCTCCTCTGATCATCATTCTGGTCTTTAGTCAGTATCATCTCCTTACAGAGGCTTCCGTGGACACTATCTGAAGTAATCTCTCTACCTCCATCCTATTACCCAATCATTATCATTTCCTGTTTTATATTCTTTACAGTATTCACCGCTATCTAAATTAGCTTACTGATCTTTTAGTTTATTATCTAACCCTCCCCCTTGAAAGCAGAGATCTTGTTTGCCTTATTTACTTGTGAATTCTAAGCACTGAAAGTAGTACCCTAAGTACTAAACAGATATTGGCTAAAGGAACAAAGAGCTCTTTCCTAGGACTCTAGTTGTTGACAGTTGTCAGAAGCAAAGCAAAACCAAGAGCAGGACCAAGAACAAGGCCACTGCTCACAGGAAGCGAAGCCAAGCTTTGGCAATACTGGTATTTTCTGAGAAAAGTATATTATTTTGAATGGAGTACTAGAAAGTAACCAATAAAAGGAGATGCCATTAAGGAAAAATAAAACAAAACTGGAACGAGCTGTTCATTAGCATTTTTCTTCCCTTGCTAGAGAATAATTCTAAATTTTGGTTGGACAGTAAGATTCCTAATATCTTTAAACAACAGTAATTTTGAAGGGGAAAAAAACAACAACAGGGAGTTGAAGAACTCCTGCAATTTCAAAATAACTGCTTCATGTCACAAAGAGTATGATTGATATTCTCCCATGGATAGTTTTACTACACTGAAGAACATGCTAGAAGTCTCCATTCTAAAAG